CTGTAATACCAGCTCTTCAAGATGTTGAAACGAGCATCAAAAATTCAAGTCCTGTCTTCCTAACTTAGTGAGACACTGACTCAAAAAAAATTTAAGGAAGTGGGGATGTAGCTCAATTGGTAGGAGCATCCCTGAGTTTGGTCCCATCTTGAAAAAAAAAAAAAGACTTAAAAGGGCTGGGAGATAGCTCAGCCCTAAAGTGTATGCTTAGCGTGCATGAGGCCCTGGGTTCAATCCCTAGTACTGCAGAAAATATTTTTCTACTGTTACTGTAATATTATCTACTCATGATTTTATAGGCAAATTAAACAATGTAGCAGAACCTTCATTATGACCATAGTGTATTCCACTGACTTATAAAAAAATTCAAAACTCAAGGTAGCAGAGGTTGTAGAGGTATAGAGATACTTCCAGTATGTTTTATATGGAAATTGTGTTATTAAAGTATTGTTATGTAATCTTTCTGTAAATCTGAAACTATTCTTTTTTGGGGGGGATCTGATATATTTTACTTAATGTTATGGTCTCAAGGTGCATCCAGTTTCCTACAAATGATTCCTCTTTGTCTTTTGTTATGGCCAAGTCATACATATTGTGTCTATATATCACATTTTCTTTATCCATTCATCTGTTGATGGGTACGTGGGCTGCTTCCAAGATTTAACTATTGTGAGTTGTGGTGCTATAAATTAGGGCAGTTGTGGTGAACCTATGGCACTCATGTCACAGCAGGCTGTTTGTATCATTGGAAGCTCTAAAAGGTTCATCATCCCTGAACTAGGGTATGCATGTATCTCTGTAGTGTGATGTCTTTTGACTATTTTGAGAAGATACCCAGGAGACATATAGGTGGGTCAGATGGAATCTCTATTCGTTTTATGAGGAACTTCCATAGTTCTAAGCACTTTACACACATTAATTCTTTTAGTCAACTCAGCAACTCAGTGAAGTAGGGATAATGGCTGGCTCATGGGGCTTCTAGAAAAATCAGCTGAGATATCATGTTTCATCATCCTCATCATACAGCTGAACAAACTGAGGCATCAAGAGGTGAAGTGACTAGCCTACATTCCTTTGGGGAGCAGGGAGGTGGCAGACTATGAGGATTCTATTCTTTTTACTTTTTTGACCTAAAAAAGTAGTGGACACAATTGGTCTTAGATTGGACAAGAGTTAAAAGCCACTTCCCTCTTAAACTCTACCTAAGGGGCACTTGACTGCCAGCTTGGAGAAGGAAAAAAAAATCACTCTCTTGGGATAAGACCTTGGAGCCAAATAGGAAGAAATGCTAGGATGATTTTTCTCTAACAAATGTTAGTGTCTTCCTGTCTCAGGTCCTTCGTATTCCTTAATACAAACAAACATTCAGGTAATATTTATTAATTGCATTTTGCTAATGTTCTTTCTCCTCTTCTTCCTTCTCGACATTTATGAAACTCTTTGGATTTTCTGTATTATTGTTTCCTTTTTTAAAATGTTGACTCATGGATTCTCCAGTTAGTTATTAAAGAAAGGAGACTTTGACTTTGTCACACAAGGTTGAACTAGCAGGTGATAGCCTGGCCTTATATAAATAAAAAAAGGCATTTGGAAATGAAGAGTGAAGCATTGGCTTCCAAGTGTCTCTTGAAATAGTCTGCTGATAGTACTACAGTGTCATAAAATAGATGTGGCTGGTTGCTTTGTCTCATGCTGGGTTGGTGGAAGAGGTCACAGGCACTGGAGTCTCCCTCAGTTTCTCACTGATGCAGATTCCATGACTGATGGTGTGGGAAGTGTCAGCATACCAGACACTTATTTTAACAATCTCCTCTTTATCTTCCAATCTCAGTCTAGACCTACTTTATCTGTTTTAGAAAAGGATGCTGAAGTAATAGTGGACTGGAGACCATTGGATGGTGAATTGGATTCTTCTAGTATCCACTATCCTGGAAAGGACTCCAGTTCTGAAACTATTCTTAAATTTTCTTTTAGCACGTTCTCTCTGAGCCACACCAGTGGTACATCATGACTGTCTCATCAGGCAGTTTGTACTGCTGGTGGTACAAACTGATCTAATCACTTTTATTGGTCTTTTTACTAAAAAAGTTAATAAAAGTCCACCCAATGCGACTGTCATGGAAGTCCCACTAGAGGTTCAAGCCGCCCAGCAGCATGACATACGAGTTACAATCCTGATGTGAACCTGTTAAACACACACACACACACACACACACACACACACAAGAAAAGATTTTTAACAGTATTAGTCATTAGGGAAATGTAAATCAAAAGCACAATGCACTATGCTGACATACCCACTAGGATAGGATTTTTTAGATGGAAAATAACAAATGTTGGTAAGGCTGTGAAGAAGCTGAAATACCTACTTTGCAGGTGGGACCATAAAATGCTATAGTCGCTGTAAAAAGCAGTTGGAACTTCCTCCAAAAGGTAAACGTAATTGCTACGTGATCCACCAACTGCAAAAGAATTTACACAGTTGTGGAAGCAAAGACTCGTACATGAATGTTCATAGCAGCACTATTCACAATTGTCAAAAGGTGGAAACAACCCAAGTATCTTTAAATTGGTAAATGAAGTTCTGTATATCCATCCAAAGGAATATTATTTAACCATACAAAAGAATGAAGTACTGATGCATGCTAAAGCATGATGAATCTTGAAAGCATGTTAAGTGAGAGAAGACAAATACAAAGGACCACATATTGTATGATTCTATGTATATGAAATGTCTGGAATAAGCAAATCCAGAGAAGAAAGAAGTAGATTAATGGTTGTCAAACTTGGAGGAAGGAGGGGATTAAGGGATGTGCTCAATGCTTATGGAGTTTCTTTTGGGAGATGATGAAAAGGTTGCAGGTAGTGATGGCGGAATGTATGAAATGTCTTGGAACTGCATACTTTACATTAAAGCCTAGGGGTATAGCTTGGTGGTAAAGCATTTACCTGGCATGTGTGAGGCCCTAAGTTTGATCCCCATTACTACAAAAAAAATTTTTAATGGTGAACTTCATTTTATGTAAATTTTACCTAAATGTAAAAGTGACACTCTTCAAACTGTTTAAAAATTATAGCAAAACAATATAGAATGTGCTGGTATATATGATATAACATGCAAAGGAAAAAATATTAAACATTACAGGACTCTTGATTTAACTGCTAACTGGCAGCTCAAAGCCAAAGCCCTGAGCTGTGACAGAACGGCTAACCCATCCTTAGACCCGTGCCATAACCTGGCTGAGTATCACTGTCCTCAACCATAATATAGGCATGATTGTTGTTAGTTATTGTGAAATACTTTCACCTAGGTTGTCACTTAGCCTAACAATTATGACAGCGATGGTTAATATATGTTCATTCTCTTGTTTCTTCATATGTGAATTGAGGGCTGCTAATCTCCATAGTGATCATTACATTAAAAGATAAGTGACCCAGGGTTGGAAAGATAATTATATTTTGAATGGCTCTTATCTCCATATGAGGCTTCTGAAATCCCAAGACAGATATTTTGTGAACCGGTCTTTAAAGTTTTTTCCAAAGGAGTACAGCAATCTACCTATTATGTGGAAATATGTTGAAATCATTATTACTAGAATTTCTAGGTTGGTCTCAACTTGTTGCCAAATCAGAATAGTCATGGACTCTACAAGTGATAGGAAAGGCTTCATTAAGAAAAAAAAAAAAAAGATGTGGTCGGGGATTTAGCTCGGTGGCACCTGCTTCACAAGCTCAAGGTCCTGAGTTAGATTCCTGGTATGGGGCGGAGGGTAGCTGTTTCTCCTTCCCTTCCCCTTGAGGATAACTAAGCTGTCACTATGAATATCAAGACACTGTTTCTTTCTGTGTTTGCATATGGCATCCTCCCAGATAATTTGTGGAGGAAATCCTGCCAAAACTCCAGAAGAAACAATGTAGTTGCTTTAGGATCATTAGTAAGCAAATGATCAAAACATTTAAAGAAGCAGAGAAAATTCATCTCCCAGGCACAGACCTCTCTGCTTTGTAAAATACAATTCTTCCCCCACACAACTCCACCATCATAAGTAAGAGAATGACATTTCTAAAGCCCTGCCTTCTGACCTCTGCTTCTTTTCCTCTGTGCTTCTCCTGGGAGTTGAGGAACGCTGGAAAATAGCTGCAGCATTTGGCTTCCAGTTGGTCAACCTGGTGCTAATTTCTTTATGGGACATTAAAAATTTCTCTTCTTGGCAAGAGACTGCAAAACTATAAAAGCTGCCAGCTGAGTGTAAATATGTTGGGGGTGGGGGTCAGTGGGAGGGATGGATGTCTGGGGAATGAGGAGTTTAACAGAGTCCGTGTTCCTACTCACACTTCCTAGTCTAACCACCAACTGTAAAAGTGTTTGGTTGATATTTTAGATGAATACAATCAAAAGAGTTGAAACTCTTCTTCTTGGTTCATGTACCTCATTTGAGTCCTCCAGTTAGGCTAAGAACTCTGTTTTTTTTTTTTAGTGGGATTCATACATCCTCATTTGGGCAATTTCCTTCCAAAATATTTATTTGATGCCTAAAATGCACCTGATCACTTGGTATGCATTATGTACCGATTCATCTTTTCATTCAACAAATGTCTTTTTATGCACCTAAGACATGTCAAGCACCATTTGAGCTATTAGGGTAAAAGGTGTCAACTTAACAGGAAAGGGTCTGTTCTCATCCAGCTTACATTTTCATGGAGCATTACACAAAGGAAAAAATTTGTCTTCAAAGGTAGGGATATAGAGAGGAGAAAGAGAATTGTGATGTACAGGGTGAGAACTGTTATTATCTATCAGGTGGTAAGGAAATGCCTCATGGCTAAATTTGTATTTGACCGAAACCTGCACTAAGTGGGAGAGTCGAGTAGTTACCTTGGAGACAGGGTCCTTGGCAGGGAGCTTCGAGAACAGAGGCCCAGAGCTGGGTGTATATGGTGTGGCACGGGGACTGAAGGTGAAGGCAATGTGCAAATGCTTTACCCATCCAGGGCAAGAGTCTGGCTGGTGAAACAGATGGAAATCCAGCATCTTCCTTCCTACTAGATGTCTGATTCCAAAGGGACTACATGTCAAGAGGGAAACACAGGTAAGGCTGATGGAGCCTACAAAGACATCTGATTGAATTTAAGGGAAAAGTTTTCCTGGGACATATAGTTTAAAGTAAAACTCAAAAAAGAGGCAGAGGCTAATCTGGTGCAGAGGAATGTGACTGGGGAAGTATTAGGAGAGGGTTTCCTTTATAAATGAGATACTATGTGTTCAAGAGGGAAAAGGAAAGAGGGCTAGTTCCAAGGAATATAAGACCAGGAAGGTGGCTTACAGAGAAAGGACTGAAGACACCCTTGATGAGCTGGAAGATAGGAACAAGGGACAATCACACAGCGCTTTGGTATTTACTTAATTTAAATAAATATGCTTAGACTTCCCTCCCTGCTGAACCAAGCTCCAGGGGGATGGGAGGGCTGGAAATCTATCTTGTTCACTACTGTGTCTCCAGCACCTACCCCAAAAGTGGGACGTTTTGAATAGCATGTTCGTCTGGATTCTGAGGTTAGAAAAGGCCCCCAGTCTTGACAGTATTAAAAGTTGCAATTTCTGTTTGAAAGTTACAGATGAAAGCTGTGACCCAGAAGAACTCCTCCCATGGAAGAGCAGCACATGTACCTTCATGACACTGGGATGAGACTGTGCTCATCTTGACTTGGTGACAGTACACTTCTGGATGGTGCTCATTTACCCTCTTAATAATTTGCATGAGAAACTAACATGGTCAGATTAGGGCTCTTATTTTGAGCCCCATGTGAGTGTTAATCTAAGACACCTGTTGTCCATCCAGTACCCTGACTACCAAAGCTTCTTCACTGGGAGAAAAAAAATGTATCAACTTTTTTTTTTTAAGTGTGGAGATTTAGCCATACCTTCAGTTTTTGTAAGCCCCAAAATCAAAATTTTGGAGACAGTTCTGTATATTTGCCTTTGTGGGTTTTTTGTTTTGTTTTTGGAATGGAATCTGGCTATGTTACCCAGACTGGTCCCCAACTCCTAAGCTCATGATCCTCCTGTCTCAGATTGCTGAGTAGCTGGGTTACAGACTGCACCACTGTGCCCAGCTCTGTACTTGCCTTTTGGGACTCAAGTAGTAGATTTGATGTTGTGACCTCAGCCTCCACTTCCCTATTTCCTCCATCCCAACAGTTCTTGTATTCCATTAGATGAGACCTATGTTCTGGGGAAATAGATTCTCCACTGGACAGAAGCAGGAGCAGGAAATCTAGGTGAAACAAATATACCCATCACCTGGCCACAATCCCTGATTCAAGCGTTGAGCATGTGACCTGTGGGTTCGCAGGAAAAACTGTTATGTGCAGACTACTGTAACAGAGTCACCCTTCATTCTGATTTTGGACAGTGTGGTGATGGTGCAGATATAAGGTCTAGAGCAGGGGTGGCCATCAGTGTCACCAACAGACTGGGCTTGGCCTGGGGCCATCACTAATTCAAGAGGCCATACATGAGCAGACTGAAGGGAGACAGTGGTGGGCCCGGAATCACGTCACACCCAAAGCATACCTACTTCTAGACTCTTTCACTATTTCCATGCTTTCCATTTACTGCTTGGAGGGAGACGCTTGTAACTGGTGGCCATATTGTCCTAGGTGGCAAAAATAAAAGAAGTTCAGAAACAATTTTGTGTGCTCTAAAAATAAAGTAGCATGGGGCCAGGATTTAACTCAGTGGTTCCACCGCCACCTGGCAAGCCCAAGGCCCTGAATTCAATCCCCGATAGCTCACCCAAAAATAAATAAATAAAAAATAAAGTAGCATATAAAGGAAATCAGAATGAGAATGTAATTTCTCTGAAATCCCTCTTAATTTTTTAATTGAAAGCTCCCATGAGTTAAAGCTGTAAATATATTAGTGAAATGTTGACTAAATAAAAATGCATGTTTTATTTGTTTTTAATGGCCAATATCTGGGGATGCAACTCAGTGGTAGAATCCATGTTTACCATACATGATGTCTGGGGTTTGAGCCCTCCTGCAAACAACAATAACAACAGCATCAAACAAACAAAAAACAAGCAAACAGTACTAAGGAGTACAGGAAGAGGATGCCATCTGTCCTCCCAGGCCTATCACCAAAGGCAAGATTTTAACTACTGTTGCAGAGTTCCTGGTGGACACTTCCTAAAATATTCTGTGCATACCTATCCTTTTAATGTGCATGCAGGTCAGCCCCTTGCCTTTTACTAAGAAAAATATCTCAGAGGCTGTTCCTTATCAGAAAATATTTCATTTGTTTCTTAAATATGGCAGGATAGCTTTGAAGTTTTTCATTTTATTGCTACAAACCCTACCTGCAGGTGGGGTCGAGTAGCTTAGTGTATTTAATATGTGAAATGAAGTAACAGCAGAAAACACCCCTCCAAGTCATCTGAGAAGATTCATTCAAAATATTTAAACAGCTGTAAACAATTGCATTGTTCTGTTCTGTGATTTATTTAACCATGGTTCCTACAGTCATTTTGACTAGAACCTTTAGCTACATTATAGGAAGCTGCAACAAAAGTATATACTGCTTTATTATGTGTTCTAAACAACATCCTATGTAAATATGTGCTGTTGAACCACAAGTTTTACTTTGAGATACTCAGAGAATTTAAACATTTTTTTGTGGGTTTTTGGTAAGAATTTTCTTTTTATCTACTACACATAGATTCCTTTTTTCCCCCATTGAACATTCCATTCATTTACTCAGCAAATACTTATTAGATCCTCATATAAATGCCAGGAAATAGTAGGTGCTCAGCCTTACCTCCAGGACCTCATGTGTTCTTTCAACAAGCAGGTAATAGGAGCAATCAGTCTCATTGGTTATTTAGAATTAGAGGACTTTAGGTATAACGCCTTTACAATTATGTCCAACTCAACTCCAATACAAACCAACCCAGTTTGTGACCTGTAGTGGAACAGGTGTGTATTTTCTATCACTGGGACACCCCCCACAACTTAGAGGAGGAGGAGAGGTTTAGTTTGATTCACTGTTTTGAGGGATTCAGTGCATGGTTGGCAAGCTCCAGGCAGAAACATTATGGCAGAAAGGTGCTATATTTTTTTGTTTCTTGTTTTTGGTACCAGAGATCGAACTCGGGACCTTGTGCTTGTGAGGCAGGCGCCAGAACCACTGAGCTAAATCCCTGGCAAGAAAGGTGCTATGGAGCAAAAATGCATAGTTCATTGCAGCTGGGAAGCAGGGCAGAGGAACAGTCCATTAAGGAGAGGAACCAGACATAGAGCCCACAGCCATGCCTCTGAGACCCATCCAGACACACCCAGTAGTGTACTCCACCAAGCCCCCAGTGGTTCCCAAAGCCCATCAAGCTGACTCCACCCTGACCACCTCAGGGTCATTTCCATGCTAGGTCACCCAACAGGATGGCAAATTTGAGCTCAGCCTGGGCAACTTAGCAAGACCCTGCCTCAAAATAAAAACTCAAAAGGGCTGGGGATATAGCTCAGTGGCAGAGTGCTTGCCTAGCATGCATAAGGCCCTGAGATTGATTTCCAGAACCACAAAAAGGAAAGGAGAACATGAGGTTAAACTCTCCCTGTGGCCCTGATACACTGTTTTTGACAAGTTAGTGAGTTACTAAAAAAAGTTTTTTCCTGTAAGGAAATCTGGGACTGTAATCACTTTCTGTTCAAACAGAGCTGAAAGATCTATTACAAATTAACTTGTATCTGACCCCTTCTTTATAATCCTAGGTCTCTTCCTTTACTTTTTGTGTATGTCTTATGTCAAAATTTAAAAGTGAAATACTTATGGTGTAATTATTTCTTGTGTTTCTCCTTTACTGGACTCTTGAGTTTCATGTGATCAGTATCTAGGTATATTTGTTTACCAGTTTTCTCTCAGTGCCTGACACAGGAAAGGTACTTCAATAAATGTTGGTGGAATTAATTTTATTTGGCCATGTGCTAATTATTCAAATGAAGGAAGGCAAGAGTAGAGTCTTCATCACTTTCCTTACTGCTAGAACAAGATACTGGACACCATAGTCTGAAGGAGGAAAGGTTTATTTTGGCTCCCATTTTAGAAGTTTCAGTCCTCAGGAGCACAGCGGAAGGGCCTGGATGGAAGAAAGCTGCTCACCTCATGGTAGATAGGAAGCAGAGAGTCAAGGGAGCAGCTGGAATAGGGGCACACCCTTCCGGGTCAGGCCCCAGTGAGCAGAGCCCGCCTTCTCAGAGCAAATCAGCCGGATGGAACCATAATCCAATCGCCTTCCAAACACATGAGGCTTTGGGGCCATTTTAGACTTAAACCATTACAAGTTGATTGTACAATGAAACTAAACTATCATAATGACATTTAAAAAATAAAATGATAAATTGAAAACAAAATAGCTCATGTAGGAAACCAGTGAAAATGAGGGAAAAGTAATATGGCTAGGAATTTCTTTTCTTTCTTCTTTCCTTTTACTCTCTCTCTTTTTTTTAAGGATTGAACTCAGCACCTTCACAGTCAGCTGTGTCCCCAGCCCTTTTTTCAGTTTTTTATTTTGAAATAAGTTTTTACTAAGTAACTAAGTTGCTGAAGCTAGGCTCAAATTTACTGTCTTGCAGTCTCATTACAGGTGTGTGCCACCATCCTTGGCCAAATTTCTTTATTCTTGATATATTGATAGGAACTCTATGACTAATGGTAGGTAAATTCATTTGTTTAATTGCTGAAATGAGGCAACTAACCTCACAGGCTTCTGAGAAAACAATCTAAAATAATTGTGCTATTAGACTACTAAGGAAAGTTGAGACCCCACAATAAAAATGACAGTCTGATACCTAAATGGCCCCTTTCATCTCAAGACCTTGAGACATTTTGCAAATGATAATTATCTCTTACATCATCCCCTCTGAGGTAAGATTTATTCCTATTTATAACCAAGCCTACATAAAATTATTTCTCCCAAACTCCCAAGTCACAGCTGATATTTGAATCCTTCACCTCTTGAGTTATGTGTCAGCATATAAATCACATTATTAAGCAAGAAAAACTTTAAATCAGGTCAAAATTATGTTTGGGCTATTAAGAGACTGAGCTGATTAGGGACTTCAGACTTCAAGAAAAATTCCCTCATGATGGGTGGAAATGGGAATAGACTGGAGAAATTTCAAGATGAAAGTCTCTTCAGCTCTGCTTCATATTTTAATGACATTTTCAATATTTGGATGGCCTAAGAGATGAATTGATTTCAAAACCATTCTGAAATTCTAGGTGACCTGGAGCCAAAATAAAGAATATCTGACTGAGTATGCACATTCTCCAAGGAATGATAATAAAATTCTAGACTAGGATGTAAAAGATTTCATTCTATTGCCCAAATCCATGGAAATTCACCATGGCTGATCAAACTTTTAATATCTGATCACAACAGGACATCATTCTTAATGATACCCAGCTGCAGAGAGTATACACTTGGAATTTTCATTCTTAACTTTGTGCTATCGGGGGTCCACTTTTTTTTTTTTTTTTTTTCTTTTGTGCCGGGGATTGAACTCGGGACCTTGCGCTTGCACAGCAGGCGGCGGAACCACTGAGCTAAATCCCGGCCCGATCTTCTTTAATTTTGATTAGTTCCTCAGCCTTTGTCTTTCATGACAATGACATCTTTGAAGAACCTAGCTAGGCCCTTTTCCCCAGATCATGTCTTAACCAGTGCATGTGTGCAGTACGTGACGTTGCCTTCCCGAGGGAAGCTGGTGCGTGTACGTAACTCACCTCCGTTGCCTTTTCATCCCCTCCCCTCCCCTTTCCCTTCCTCCACTGCCCCGGCTCTTCGGCCCTCCCTTTTTGGTACACGTTTGCAGCACATAATGTTTACAGGCCTTGTGTGGAGTTGGTACATGTGCAGAGCACACCTGATTCCTTTTTCCCTCCCCCTCTTCCTCTTTCCATTTTTAAATGGTTTGTACAGAAAACGTTTTGAGAAATCTGGTTTTTGGGTTGTTATTTCCCAATTAACAACTTTCGGTGGTAACTCCAAGAGATGCATTACATGACTTCTAACTTAGTCCTGTTGGGGAAGTCCATCGTAAACCTGGCCACCTAGAGTGTGCGAAAATAGTGCCATAGTGCTCAGTTACTGCCCAGGAAATGCTTCCAGTGGAACCCTCTCCTACCCAAGCACCATGCTGCGTAGGCCTTGTCTGCCAATTACCCTTCCCTAACGCAGTGGCTGACATTCAGGAGATTCAATTCATTAAATGCAGAACTTCCACAGTGCCGAGGAGGTGCACAGTACTTCGATGTGTTCAATAGCAACACTGAATTTTTCCCTTTTAATCACCCTCAGTATGGTGACAAGACACAAAATAGCTGAGCAGGTATTGAAAACCTTTATGTTCTCCACAAATTGGGTTTTCCTGGTAGGCATCAGGCATATTTCTGCCAAGAACACTTTGTTTGCTCTCCAAGTGCTTCAAATCCACTGACATCTTATGTGTTATACCTTTTTTCTTGGGTCATTAAATATAATTTTCTTCATTTCTTTGTTCATTCCTTTTCTCCTCATGTAAGATACCAAAAACTCATTAACTTCATTTCTGCTAAATTCAAATTTGTTGAGTTTTTAAAAAGTTCTTTATCATCTGAACATTCTAAGCAAGTTTTGAAAAAGTAAATGCTT